AGGGTCTCCCTGTAGCCCCAGCTGTCCTGGAACTCACTATGTAGACCAGGCTGGCCTTGAACTCACAGAGATCCGCCTGTCTCTGCCTCCCTAGTTCTGAGATTAAAGGCGTGCACCACCATGCCCGGCGAATTTATCTTTTTAAAAAAAACTCTTAAGAGGGAACTGGACCCTGGAACTGGAGTTATAGATGGTTGTCATCTGCCATGTGTGTACTAGAACTGAACCCAGGTCCTCTGGAAGAGCAGGAAGTGCTCTTAACTGCTGAGCCATCTGTCCATCCCCAAATTTATCTTTTGAAATATTCCAACAGTAGAATTTTAATGCTACATGAACCATGGTTTATGGTAAAATGTATTCTACCCTCCAACTTTGCTACTTGCAATTGTAAGGTCTTAGCAGTTATTTAACTTTTCCCTCTATAGAACAGTAGTATTTAGGGGGCTGGAGAGATGGCTCAGCAGTTGAGAGCACTGGCTGCTCTTATAGAGGACCCAGGTTCAGTTCCCAGTTCCCACATGGTGGCTAACAACCATCTCTAACTCCAGTTTTGGGGGAATCTGACGCCCTCTTCTGACCTCCATGGGCATTGCATGACATTATATACATGCAGGCAAAACACATTCACATAAAAAAAATTAAATTAAAAAATAGTATTTACTTCATAGAGTTGTTTTAAAGATTCAGTCCTGAGCCAGGCATGGTGGCACATGCCTTTAATCCCAACACTTGAGAGGCAGAGGCAGGTGGATCTCTATGAGTTGAGGCCAGCCTGGTCTACATAGTGAGTTCCAGGCCAGCTGGGGGTATCATCATGTTAATAAGGGTTAATTTATTACCTCTCTATAGGAGAAAGAAGCTTCCAGTTGCTTTGGCAGCTGAGACTCTAGTTAAATAAGACAGAGATTCTGCTGCTGCAGTGGTAAAGACTATGCTAGTTTTGATGTCTTAGGACATGGGTCTTTTGATTCATGTCTAATTTGGGATCTGTTACCTATAAGGAGTTGACTGTGATAAGTCACTTCATCCACTGAGCATTCATGTTTCTCATCTCTGAAATAGAAGGGGTTTAGGTCATTCTTGATGACCCCCGTCTCCCTGCAAGACTCCTTTAGTTCTACAAAACATACACCACAGAAGAAATCGATTTTTGCATAATGTACTTTTCTGACTCAGCATTTTGCAGATATTAAAGTTGGGGGACAAAGGGTTATATCACCCATGGGTACCATCATTTGATCATTTAGCATTATTGAAGTCTTCAAGGTACCAGACACAGTGTTAGGTCTTAGGGATATAAAACTAGAAAATTTCTCCCATCTCTCCCATTAAAGAATTTATAGTCAAACTCAGAAAGTTACAGATAAGTTATTACAATGTAACAGGATGAAAGTAATGGATCTGAAGAGCTGTGGCAATACAGGATGAAATAGACACCTTATCTTCAATATGCTTTTGGTCAGGCAGTTTCAGGGAATACATAATTCAGGAGAACTTTATCTAACTTGCCTAGAGCTGTTCCTGGATGAAGATCTTAGGTTATCCTTCAGGAAAGTGGCAAGGAATTTTCTGAAGTACATACTCCTGGGTTGTATAACCAATATGAAAATGAAAAGCAAACTGCTTGCAGCACAGCATAAAGAAGACAGATGCTTTTTTGTGATACATCAGAGATTCTCCTGCCATTTAGCACAGATATTCGCATTGCATTTCAGTCTTGATTCTAAATTCCCTTTCCTTCTCAGTGTTTTTCACTGTTTTTTTTCCCTCTTCTCTATAAGATGCTAAGCTCAGCTTTTCCAAATCTTTCTCAACTGGGCCAGCAGCTTTAAACCCTTACTGCCTCTGTGCTCTTGCCAATATGCCTTCGTTGATCTGAGACTCTCAAACCATGGTATCATGGGGCTGGGGAAGAAATGAAAAAGCAAATGCCAGCCTCTGCCATCAGGCGATTTCAAAGGCCACAAATCCCCATCTGCTTACCAGACTCTCAGTAGTAAGCTCCGGCAAATCCTGGATGGTACAGCATGGGTAATCCAGGACCAAGATGCTGCAAGATGCAGAGATAAGGGTAGGCTTTAGGTAAATGGCAACATCAGGAAATGGCTGCCTTTGAAAAGGGCAGGAATTATTCTCTCCAGCAGAAGCCATTCATTTCTTAAATTGCTTAGTGACCTCAGCTGAAATTGAAGGCACTGGTGCTGGGCAACCTCAACTTCATTCTTCTTAGCTCTCTTTGCTTCCTTAGGGAATATGCAAACAAGTGCATTTGCCTCTGTGTTTAAATGTACGTGTGAATATAATAGTGTTCTCAAAGATGCTGCCCAAACCCCCTCCACTAATAACCATCAGAGGATATGAAGACAAAGTGAAGACCGTTCCTGTGTTTCTTGCCCAATCTTTCTGAAAGCCAGGAGCTCTGGGGATAACTGCCCAGGGCGCCCTGGAGGAAGCCTGAGACATGGGGCAGATGCTTCTAACAGGGCCAAGCAGCAGCTCAAGGATGGTAAATAATAGTGTCTATCCCCCAAAAGTAGGAACTACAAGCAAGTCACAGGCTCTGCAGTGAGCCCAAGGAAGTAGGCATGAAATCAGGAAGGAAAATCAGGCACCTCATGAAAATAGGGAGGTAGTCTAGTCACTCAACAAATAACAGCTCTCTTCCCTCTCTTTCACTAGTACAATGCAGAATTTAGACTAGCTAATTTCTAATGCTTCTTCTGTTTCTGATATTCAATGAAGTTTTAACACCAATCTGTCTGAACTAGTACAGTATGAAATGGGTAAAGGATGCTGGCAAAGCAGGGACTAGGAAGTTGGGTATGGGATTCCTTGGACCTGTCTTTATATTTTGAAAGTCAAAACTTCTAGAAGCAAACCATTTGTCTTTCTTGTTCAAGAAACCCATGCAGATCAAGATAACCTATGCAAACCAGGTAAGGGAGGAGTCAGCTCAGGAGAGGGCAGCGAGTTTACTCATAACATCACCCTAATTAGCTCTTCTGGATCTCCCAGGGTTGCCATCTCTGTATCATCCCATTAGGATGATAGTCTTGGTTCATTCATTCACTTATCTACCTACCTTCCACAGAACCATGGCAAAAAAAAGGTGCTGCAAATAGGAAATGGGGGCAGGAAATCAAGGACAGAATTTGTTCCAATCTCTCAGCGAACTGAATTCTAGCTCTGTGATATTGCTGGAGGAAGCAGTCTCATTTATTTTAAAGATGCACAGCTCAGAGACTGTCTCCCTTGAGATTATATGGTTAGCAAATAGCAGATCCAGGTCAGGAATCCAGGTCTCATGGCTTCAGGCTCTTCAAAGCCAGCGTGTGTTTTAAACCACATGTAAGACTGCCAATCCATGGTGGAATTTCAGGCAGTACTTTCAGACTCCTGAGATAACCCCTAGTTCTTCTCTCTCCAGCCACCCCAATGACATCAGCCTTCTTATGTCTACTTTAGGAATTCTGGTAAACTCTACTGACAACATGCTATGCCAATTCTTGTGGAAGCAAACTAAAGAATAAGGATATACTCTCCAACTTCACAGTGCTAGCATGGCCAGAGGAGTGGACAGCAGTTTGCATCCACAGAAAAACCCGTGTTATTATTCTTACTTAAAAGGTTAAACATGTTAACCTTCGAGTATGTGTGTGCACATGCATGTGGAAGCCAGAGGTTGACGTTAAGGTGTTTTCCTCAATTGTTCTCCATCTAATTTATTTTTACTTCATGTATATGAATGTTTTGCCTGCGTGTATGTAAGTATGTAAGTGCACTCATGCATGCAATGCCCGTGGAGGCTGTAAGAGGGCTTTGGATTCCCTAGAACTGGAATTAGAGATGGCTGTTAGCTGCCATGTGGGTGCTAGGAATCAAACCCCAGTACTCTGCAAGAGCAGCCAGTGCTCTTAACCACAGAGTCATCTCTCTAACCCCTCCACCTGTTTGTTTGTTTTTTTTTTTCTTTTTGAGACAGGGTTTCCCAGGAGCTCTAGCTAACCTGGAGTTCACTGTGTAGACCAGGTTGGCCTCAGAGTCACAGAGATTCACCTGCCTCTGCTTCCTGAGTGCTGGGATTAAAGGTATGTACCACCATGCCCAGCTCAACTCCACCTAATTTTTTGAGACAGGCTTTCTCACTGAACATAGAGCTCACTGATTTGGCTAGGCTGGCTGGCTGAAGAGCTCCAAGGTATTGCCTATCTCCACCCTCCCAGTGTTGGGATTATAGATATGCACTGTCATACCAACCCAATTTTTTATAGTGCTAGGGATCAGAACACAGGTCCTCAGGCTTGTGTGGTATGCCCTTTAATGACTGAGCCATCTCCCCATTCTCATAATCTTGTTATACTTGAGCAAATCAATTCACCTCTCTGACTCTGTCTCCTAACTGGCAGGATGAGAATAAAATTTGTAGCATATTTTAGCATTGTTGAGATTAAGTGGAATTAGGAATGTAAAAATACAGTACTTTGGGCCAGTGAGATGGCTAAGCATATAAAGGCACCTGCCACCTGAGTTTGATCCCTGGGATCCACATGGTGGAAATCAAGACTATTCCCATAAAGTTATCCTCTTATCTCTACATTCATGCCTTAGCATGTGCATACTCATACACATGCACACACAAAATAAAGATAAAAATTCAAAAAGTAGCCAGGCATGGTGGCGCAAGCCTTTAATACCAGCACTTGGGAGGCAGAGGCTGGCAGATCTCTGTGAGTTCCAGGCCAGCCTGGCCTACATAGTGAGTTCCAGGTGAGCTGGTGCTACAGGGAGACCCTGTCTCAAAAAAAAAGACCAAAAAAAAAAAAAAAAATCAAAAAGTAACAAATTTTTAAAAATACCATATTTAAAATTTTTAAATTTTATTTATTATTTTCATTTTATGCGTATGAGTGTATTGCCTGCATATATGTAAGTGCACCAGTGTCGTGTAATGCCGGGGGAGGTCAGAAGAGGACATCAGAGTCCCTGGAACTGGAGTTACGAAAGGTTGTTTGCTGCTATGTGGGTGTTGGGACTCAAACCTGGGCTCTCTGCAACTGCTAAGCCATCTCTCCAGCCCCCAAATACCGTATTTTTAAACTATAAATTCATCTACCCAAGTAAAGGTCTATTGTTTGCTTTTTATTATAAATGTTGAACCTTCCCTGATGGTTTGGACTCCATACTCTCATCATCATAAATTTTGTATAACACTTTGCATTTACAAAGCAGTGTAACTGTTCCAATTCCTACAATTTGTGATTTATACTAAAATCAGAGCTGTCCAGGTAAGAGGGCTGTTGCATAACAGCAAAAATCTCCTACATCCTTTAGCAACAGGTCTTTTCATCACAGAAATTCATCATTGCAGCTTCATTTCTACAAACCAAGGTAGTTTTCAAAACTATTAATATGTAAAAACTCAGTGAGGAAAAAAACTCATACATTCCCATCAGCTGACACTTTAAGAAGATTAAATCTAACAGGAAGAGCTCTAAGAAGGGAGGGACTAGGGAAACCAGAAGAAATGAAAGGATAAAGCAATTTTCTCAACTACCCAAAGTAGCTCCTTGAAATAAATCTGTCCAGAGTCCATACCTGTTTTTGGCAGTGATGTAGGACAAGATATTTTGATTGAAGAACTTCAGGATCAAGGGGATGCAGTTGGCAAATACTAAATGTTGTGATACATATTCAAACTGAAATAAAAGATCAAAGCAGAAAAGGCTGCTTATTTGTAGGGGGATATAAAGCATGTATAGAGAAAAGATAGGGAAGTATAAACGTAATAGCCATATTTAAGAATATCTACTGTGTAAACTGTCTCTGTCTCTGAAATGGGAATACTCATCTTCGGCTGGCCCATGCTACATGCAAGAGGACGATCTGCAGTGTATGTTGCAAGCTCCTGACCAAAAGCGCATAGTAAACACACTAGAAAGAAAAACAGCCCCAAATAAATAGAATTGCTGTGAGGTTTGTTCTTAAGCTCAACAGGAAAGGAAGGCTCCCTGAGGGAGCTGTTTTCCATAGCAAACCTCTGGTTCATAATGTCTCAACTGTGACTGACACTGGAGACAGATGCAGCTAACTCTTGGCAACTGCTGGCATCATTCAGACAGTTTGAGACAGCACATAGGAAGCACATGAACCACTGGAATGTAGGCTTCAGTTCTGGTCTATCTGGTATATGACATTATCTCTAGTACTTAGAACATCAGTATATTAACGAACGGATGAACAAGAAAGTGCCAAAACTGTGCCTCATTCAGAATTATAAAGTGTCATAAAAGAGTTTCACATACAGAAAGTATGATCAATATGCCCTGTGCCCTTTCTGGAATGTTTAAATTCTGAACTGTATTGTTCTGACTGGCTAGGAGTATTCCTAAGAATTTCTAGCCAGACTCTGAGCTAACTTATAAAGAAGATAGTTTTTTGCACCTTTGTAGGTCAGTTCCCCACATCCCATTCCATATCCTCATCATAAGCTCATGCAACAAATAGCTGGACTCTCTGAGGACAAAGAATAGTCCAAAAGATGCTCGGTAGGACTATGAGGACTCCTGTGTTGCCTCTAGGGTCTGAGGAATACTTGAAGCTTGTGAAGAAGTGCCCCTAGCTGCTTACCTGGTAGATATGGTTGAGCTTGAAGTGTTTGAGAAGTAGCAAGAGCAGGGAAGAGATACTCTTTACGATGATCTCCTTGTGCCTATTCACATCAATGCCCAGCTTCATGCTCTGGAGAACAGTAATGCTACAAAGAAGAGAAGAAGCATCAGTATAGAGGTAGCTATGGAGAGATGCCTGTGAGGAAGGATCCCAAGAATTGGGGTCAGATATAATATAAACAAGATGGTCAGAACTTGGGAAACCCCGACTTCTGGAAAAGCTTTAGGAAAACCTCCCCTGATTTCCTTGTTGATGTGTCTTCTCTCTAGCAAACTTATCCATTGGCATTGTCTACCCACATTTCTGGCACAGCTAGTCAACTAGCACTGAGGTTACCTGCTAGACCCTTAGTTCTGAGCTACATTACAGCTCAATAGAGAGCCCTGCAGGGGAAAGGAGGTACAGACGGGAAAGAAGAGATTTCTCTGAAAACAATCTCTTTTTTTTTCTTTGTCTCTTTGAAGCAGGGTCTCCCTGTAGCCCCAGCTGTCCTGGAACTCACTATGTAGACCAGGCTGGCCTTGAACTCACAGAGATCCACCTGCCTCTGCCTCCCAAGTGCTGGGATTAAAGGCGTGTAAAACAATCTTACGTTAACAAAGTGAGGTGAGACAGAAAGGCCCTGCAGACAAGACACTAGAGTATGACAGCTGCCCCAGTGGAAGAACTCACGGCATCTCTTCAGGAAGGACATCTGCCAGGATATTGATAGAGTCTGTCTTAGCTTTGGAGGTGGGGGCTGCAGCCAGCAGAATCTTAAGCAGAGCAATCTGGGAAAACAGAAAAAGAGGAAATCCACCCTTGTCTATCCCACTCAGCACACTGATTCTTCCAAACCTTACTAGCCCAGTGAAAAGTACTTCAAAGCCTTTCTCTAAGATCGTCCTTCAGTGACCAAGCCTTGCCAGCATACAGAAATACAAACAGGTGTTCATCCTGAGAAGCCTGTCTGTGAGGCCAAGGAGGAAGCCAAAACTCAGGACAGTGTTATTCAACTAGCAGGGGCCCTGATGTAGTGTATAGACTTTACCTCATTCTGCTTCCCCCTACCCCATAGGAAGAACAGGGAGAATAATACCTTCAGAGGAACCCTGAGGAAATTTCATAGTTCTAATGTGTCAGGGGCAAAGGCTCAGGGAACAAGCTCAAATGATGGACAGTTCACTTCTCAACTGTTCCTCTCAGAAAAGGGTAGCTCTGACCCAGCCAGCTCCTTACCATGTACTGGGGGAGGCTATACAGCATGCCTTGGTAGAGGATTTCACACGGTGTTTCTGGTACCACTTCTTCTCCCTATGGTAGGAAACACAGTTTACCCAGGCTGCTTTCCAGGTGTTTCCAAAGGTTACATCTTCTTGGTTGGTGAGGGGTAGCATGAACAGAGGAGTAAGCTAGGAGTCAGCCCTAGAAGGCTATTGTAGCTGTGTTACTGATTCATTACATGACTTTAGAGGACTGGCTGTCCCTAAGTTCTATGATTTTGTTTTCTTACGATCTCAATTAATTGTTCTTTCCATGTTACATGCTCAATCAGGAGTCAGAACTCCAGTCTAGGAGTTAGCTTAGACTGTTGCTTTGCTGGACACACACAGAGAACTACCCTGGATACAAATGGGCTTAATTATAGATGAAAGGACACCTGAGACATTAAAACAGACCCTATACAGAAGAATTTCCCAGTGTCGATCTGAGATCAGCTGAGAACTCTAGAATGCTGTTATCTAGGAAGGGTGAAAAAAATCATAGATGGTTAAATAGGGAGAGTTAGTAATGAAGTTAAGTAACCTGTGAGAAATGAGGAGTATTAACAAGGAAGATTTTAAAAGGTTTGAAACTATTTTCTCCCCAGCTCCATTATCCTCACCAACATCACTTTCTTCTTTATGACCAAGTACTCCATGCATATTTCTGTCCTCTTCATAACCCTAAATGAACCCCTTTATCAGAATGGGGAAGCAGTGGCCTCAGATGCTCAAGAGACTACTCAGGCCTCATTCAAATTTTTGGCCAATGCAGTTATCTCCTCTCTCAAGGTCTCCCACTATAGAGTCACTGCCATGAAACCCTGAGGCAGGGAAGACAACTGGGCCCATGGACACAAGTCTTAAATGGGCATTCAAGAGAGCTTGGTGATGCTTGCATGTGTACCTCCTGTTCCCCCAAAAGGCTTATTTCCTTCTCTCCACTCAAACCAACTCCCTTGTCCAAGAGCACCTCAAGTTGCTAACCTTGCCTGATACTTTCTCATACTAAGACAGAAGCGATCAGACAGGTATGCTGCATCTTTTCATCACCAGATCTACCAATTTCTGCCTGCCTTCTGACATGTAAGATGAACCACCTGTGCTTGGAAGACAAGCCAAGCTTCCACTAGGGCTTGGGATCTCATGTTCTCTCTTGATAAAATCTATCAGTCCTACAGTTAGCTGCACTCTTGGATTTGGATTTTTTTTTCATGTAGCCCAGGCTGGCCTCCAACTCATTAAGTAGCTAAGGATGACCTTGAATTCCTGATCTTTCTCCTAAGTACTCAGATTACAGACCTGCCCAGCCATGCCTGACCTGGATCATTTCTCTTAAGACAAAAACATACTCTTGTATTTTTTTTAAAGCTAGGGTCTTAATTTATAGCCATGACTGGCCTGGAACTCACTATGTAGCCATGGCTGGAATGGAACTCACTATGTAAACCAGGCTGGGCTGCCTTTGTCTCCCAAGTGGAGATTAAAGGCAGGAACATTATATCTCTTATTCTCCCAGAAGAGTGCTCTGTGCTCTTTTAGCTATGTCTTCTCTCTTGATCCCACCTCTCCTAGAGCTACCACCCCATTTCTCTCCTCTTCTTCACAACACCTACTGTGTTGGGTGTCTACTTTTTTTCACATTCCTTTTTAGTGTACTCTAAAGAGTCTTTTTTTTTTTTTTTTTTTGTCTCTTTGAGACAGGGTCTCCCTGTAGCTCCAGCTGTCCTGGAACTCACCAGGCTGGATTTGAACTCAGAGTTGCCTGCCTCTGCCTCCCGAGTGCTGGGATTAAAGGCGTGTGCCACCACGCCCGGCTCTAAACAGTCTTTTAGCCACTCCACTTATGGTTCTTTTTAACAAAAATCAGATATCTTAATGCTGCCAAATCCAATGAGCACCTCTGTTCTTATCACATGCCACATATCAGCACCATTTGATTCAGCTGACCACTCCCTTCTTTAAAAGATACTGCTTGCATTGTATCAGACTTCTGAATTTCCTCCCACTTCACTGAGTGTTCTTACTTTTCTTTCCTGGCTCCTTTTCTGACTTATGCCACTCTCAATACACCCTAGTGGCTTTTTCCGGGTTCTATCCTCTTCTGTCTCTATTCCCTCCTTGGCTCTCTCACTCATTTCTTTGGCTTTTAACATTGTTTGTAAATCAATGACTCACAATTTTCTTGAAGCCAATCCTTTCCCTAGAACTCTAGACCTATATATTTAACTGCCTGGCCACTCTGGATGAACATTTAATGGACATATAAACCTGAGTATGAATAACGCAAGATTCTTGGTCTTCCTCCCATTTTGGCAGGTAACACTTAATCTCTAAGTGTGGTCAGCCTACTTTCAAAATACAACCCAAATTCATCCACTTTACTACCCTAGTCTAGGTCACCATCACCTTTCATCACTTTGGCTGTTTTGAGTGTTGTTTTTTTTTAAATGATTTATTTATTATTTGTAGAAGTGTTTGCTTACCTGTATGTATACCTAGTATGTGCCCACGGGGGCCAGAAGAGGGCAACAGAGTTTCCATGTGAGTAATGGGAATCAAACCTAGATCCTCTGCAAAAGCAGTAAGTACTCGTAACCCCTGAGCCACCTCTCCAGCCCCTCACTTTGACTGTTTGGAGATGAGTTAATGCTACCCATCTCTTTCTGGTCCAATCTTTACATAATAAATGGAGGTTTTTTAAAATGACAGATCACTATCTCTCCCCTGCTAAAATCTCCAAAGGCTTCTCCTGTATGGTGAATCAACTTCAAGCTTCCTACTTTTGCTAGCCAGTCCTATGTAAAGTGTCCCCAGGCTACTTGTCTGACTTCATCTCTCCAACCCCATCTCTTACTCATGTGTTGTTACACCAGCCATTGTCGTCGTTGTCGTCATTGTCTCCCCCCCCCCCCTTTTTGGTCTTTTTGAAGCAGGGTATCCCTGTAGCCCCAGCTTGCCTGGAACTCACTATGCAGATCAGGCTGGCCTCAAACTCACAGAGATCCGCCTACCTGCCCCTGCCTCCCAAGTGCTGGTATTAAAGGTGTGAGCTACCATGCCTGGCCTATACCAGCCTTCTTTCACTCCCTCTTGTACTCTGTGCCTGTCCCTCCCACTCTTCATTGTTAATGCTTTTAATTTTGCTTGGAATGCCTTACTCATGATGTTCCTAAGGCTGGCTACTTTCTGTATTTCAGATTTTAACTAAATGTCACCTTCTCAGACATCTCATCTACCCTAATTACCAATCTAAAACAGTCTACAGATGCTTCAATCATGTTATCCTACTTAAATTATCTTCATGGGATCTACCATTCTGTGATGGTCTTTTTTAGTTATTTACTATCTTTCTTCCCCAACTCTAATATAGTGTAGGTCCTTCATCTTGTGAAACATACAGGAACAGCCTAGCAAGCTTAATCAATGCATGTACAATGCATGCTCTGTGACAGCACTGCAGAGTTCTTTCTTCCCTTCTCCTGAATGCAGGAGCCGTTGGCTCACCAAAGACATAGGACATTTCTCCAGTTCCTCTTCATTCTTGATCTGTACATCTGCGATGGAGATATACTTGTGCTGGCAAAGACAAGAAAGCATTAACAAAGCTTGAGAACCTTATTCACATGTGTGCCAGTTTCTTCCTTAACTTCCTTGTTCATATAGTAATGTTCTATGGGTCCACCACCCTAAATAGGAATGAAACTTTTGGAGGCAAGAGTCTTAGTTACCTCTGCATCATCAGCACTGAGCAAAGTGCTTCTTTTTACAGTGTTTCCATGTGTTACATGTTTCCATATTTGTTGGCTACCAGCAAATATTTAGGCATTTCCCTTCAAACTAAGTGCAAGGGAAGTCAAGGATAGGCCTTTGCCTCTGGACCACTGCCCAGATCGGTCTCCATGTGTGTATGGAGTGATGATGACTCTACATTCTTTGTACTCATATATACCTAAGTGTTAGCTGTTAGACGTTAGTGGACCTATGAGGAGAGAGAAAGGAAAGGAAAGGAAGCAAAAGGAATGGGAAAGAAGAGAGGATATAAAGTGGGAAAAGGAATGATAGGAATTTTTTTTTCCATCTATTTAAATGAAAGAAATTGGGTAAGTAGACAGAAATCTGATTTTTCTTATTTGGCTAAAAGGCCCACAGGGGAGATGAAGAAGGCCCTGAATGTATCTGGAAGAAGAGCTCTACCCAGTACCCCAAACCCTGGTAATGTGACTTCTCTTGATGGCTCCCTGTCCTTGAAAACTGAAAGCCCACCATGGTCACCTGCTTTAGGGTCTTCACACTCTCGTGGATGGGCCTAGGTAATCCAACCAAGGTATCTGTGTCCCTGTGAAAGGCCAAAAACACCAAATCATAAATTTCAAAGGGAAGAGAAAACTACCTATACCCCGGAATCATAGGGACCACAACTTTTGTACTTTAGCATCTACCCCTGGTATCCTAGACCTTCCTGTATGAGGTTCTAGACCTTTCTATATGAGGTTCTAGGTCTACCCTTTCGCTTAAAGTCACAAAAATAACAATGATACACAGAAGTGTTCCTGAAAATTGGAGATTTATTTATTTATTGTTTTTTTTTTTTTTTTTTTTTTTTGAGACAGGGTCTCCTGAAGCCACAACTGGCCTGGATTCACTATGGAGACCAGACTGACTTCAAACTCACAGAAAGCCACCTGCCTCTGCCTCCTGAGTGCGGGGATTAAAGGTGTGGGTCACAACACCCAGCTCTGAAAATTAGGAAATTTATATTATATAGTCTCTTGGGGACTCACTTGACCTGCAGGTGACAGATTCCTACTTAAAGGAATATGTAGCCCAATGATACTTCTGACAGGTCCTTTTAGTTTATGAAGGCAAGTGGGAAGGATTCATAGCCCCCTAGATATACTTCATGGCCAGTTTTGACCATCTAGTCACTTACTGCCCCAGGGTGAATCCAATGAACTTGTTTCTGCTTGTTTCCAAGAAGTGCTCAATGTCCTTCTGTCTGAGATGATGGTGGAGGGACCAACACCATAGAAAGGAAGAAAGAAAAACAACCATGAAAAAGAAAACTTTTCAGGGCTCCTACACCTTCATCTGGAAGGACAAGATCAGTGGAAGAAGACAGTAAGCAACAGAAGGAACGTCAGACCCAGGAGTTATGGCTGCCAGACCAGGTTAATGAACTCTGGATACATAGACTACTCCACCCTTTGTGTTCACTGATTAAAATCCCAAAGCTCAGGGTCACTGGTGATACCAAACCTACCTGACTTTTGGGGCCCAGGGAAGGCCCTTGGGAAAGGCTACCCGGTCAACAGAGAGGGGTGTCTGTGAGGGTGGAGGTGGCACCAGGGGATCTTGCTCTAGCAGGTCTAACTCGCCATCCAAGGCTCGTTCACCATCTCCAGCAGATTCCTCTTCCTCCTCAGTAGCTGGCTCCTCAGTCTTGAAGAGATCCCTTTCATTGTAGATGTCCAGGCTGTCCTGCTTAGTGAGGAGTTGCTAGTGGGTGGGGAGAGGAAAGTATATAGAGAGTTTGGCAACCTTGTCTGAAGCCACTCTGTCACCAAAGGATTCCAGACCTCAAGAAACGTAAAGTTGGAACCCAACTCCTATAAGGACATTCCATCTCAATCATAGAACTCAATAGACCTAATCCTAGGACAGGTAGCTCTTGGGCAAACATGGCCATGGCTAGAGACAGAACATAGATAACATCAGAGACATAGTTAGCTTTCAGAAAGTACTCATGCCTTTTTTCCCTGGCACTTTCCTAATTATGCTGTGCTTAGGTGAACATTCAACTCGTTTGCCTTCTGTGAGTACACACCAGCTGGCTGACTGAGGAAGAGGACGACAGAAGCTTGCTGCTAGGCAGAGGAAAGTGAGTTTGGAAATGTTAAATCTTGTTGCAGAAATTAAAAAAAAAAAAAGATTGGACAGAAATAGGCCAAAAAGTTAACAGTCATTGCTGCTGGTAGTCACAGATTGTGGGTGATTTTTGTTCTCCATCACATTTTTATATTTGTTCCAAATTTTCTATAGTGAGTAAGCATTACCTTGTAAAACAAAAACTCAAGGTTAAAAAAAACATGTCATAATGCATACAATTTAGACGGGATTGTCTGGCCCTGTCACCCTTAGTTGGTAAACTCTGGTAGGTCAGGCAGGTGTGTTCATAAGAATATGGCCATGGCTCAGTGTAACTTCTTTAAACCTTCTCAAGACAATACACTACTGAAAACCCTAACCAGTCATCTCTCAAATTTAAGTTTGTGGCCCAGAGCCAGACAGAGTATGGCTGGCTCAAAGTAAATCTTTTTGCTGCCAAGAAAGTGGTAAGTGATTCACACTAGGTATGTAGATTTGCTAGATGCCCTTTTTCAGGGTGCCTAGTCTCAGAATTCTCAGCAAAATCATGTTAGGGCGCTAAAGAACTCCAGACCGATAATACATGGTTATATGATGTGATATCATAATATTCCATCAAGACTGCTCAGGAGCCTATCAGGGCTGGGGGACAGAGGTCAAAGTATTGGACTCTGAAGATTCATGTTGGTTACAGTCAGGGTGGGATGAATCAGTCCATTTATCACCCTTTCCTATCACATCCAGTATATCTTGGAATCTTGATTTTTGGCCAGCCCAGTATCCCAATATTACTTAGTATGCTTAGTCCATACCCTTCGAGAACCACGGCGACCTCGTAGCTTGGAGGGCGGTGGAGCCAGCTGAGACTCCCCAAGGTCAAGAGTGTACGAGGGTGGGGAGGCAGCACGCATACTCTTTATCACCTGGATACTGTCTTCAGCCAGTGGAGGCAGGCCCAACTCTGCACGCTTCTGTATTTTGAGAGCCTGCAGATGCTCAAATCCACCTAGGGTAAACTAAAGTAAAAAGGAAAGAGAAGAGAGAAAAAGGGAGGGATATCCAAGAGAACAGAGTCAGGGAAACATGATGGAAAGAAAAAGCTACAATTTCTAATTTCCTCATACAAACTCTTGAACAAAGCAGCAGAAAAACAGGATGGAGGCTGGAGAGAGAGATGGCCCAGTGCTTAAGAGAGCTTGCAGAGGACCAGAGCTCAGTTCCCAGAACCCACACTGGGTGGCTGACAACCATCTGCAACTCCAGTTCCAGAGAATCTGACACCCTCTTCTGGCCTCTATGGGCACCTTCATGCACACGATGCACATAAACTCATTCAGGCATGTGTGCGTGTACACACACACACACACACACACACACACACACACATCCACACACAGGAGAAAAACAGAAAGAAGCACACACACACATCCACACACAGGAGAAAAAAAGAAAGAAGCAAACATGGTTACCATTCCAATCTGAGGAGTTCAGACTAAAATAAGCCCTTATTCACTGACTCAAGGTTGGAAATACCACTAAACAGTAGAAGAAGAGAGACTCTTGGGGGCCTGAAAAAAAAGGGAAACAGTCTGCCCTCCCATCTCTGCTTGCTTTGTTTTTTGAGACAGGGTCTCATTGTGTAGTCCAGGCTGGCCCAGAACTGTGTAGCCCTGGAAGTCCTACTGCCTCAGCCTCTTAAAAGCATGTGTCTCTATACTGGCACAATCTCCCATTTTAATAACACATTCATATATTATTATCTCCCAGCATCACAAAGTTTCCTCTATAGTCAAGTGGCAATTCCCTCCATGAAGCGCACTTGGAGGGTATTTTGTTCCTCCAGTCCTATGGCATGGGAGCCAGAGGGGGACTGTGGGATGAAGGATCAGGCTGAATAATAACAAAACTGTTAACTATATTATATACTTTTCCTTTTTTTTTTTTTGTCTTTTGTTTTAGAGATGAGGTCTCCCTGTAGTCCCAGCTGTCCTGGAACTCACTATGTAGACCAGGCTGGCCTTGAACTCACAGAGATCCGCCTGTCTCTGCTTCCCAAGTGCTGGGATTAAATGCCTGAGTCACCACACACAGCTGTAACTATATATTTGTAAGAACATATCCTCTACTGGAAGGCAAATCATGCTTTCACATTTTATAGCTACAGAAACTGAGGTACAGAATTGTCTAAGATGTCTCAGTATGAGGAGAGCCAAATTTCCATCTGTCAGCTAGTGTTCTAGTGTTCTATCATCAGCTTTATCATTGGAAGGTGCCATTGACATTCTTAACTCAGTGGACTGGGATCAGCCACTCACCATGACTACCTTCCAGAGCAGAAGCAGAACCTTCTTTATCGGAAAGTGGGGAGCCAGGCCACTGCAGAATTTAGTAACCATGGAGAAGAGCAGGAGGGCAAAAGGTTCTTCATTATGCATGGAGAAGCCTGAGGAATAAAAAGAAGAAAGGAAAAGTATGAGATGAAGTAGCTGAAATTCTGCCCTGCTATCCCTGATTCTGGACATACTGACCAAGGCACTCCCCTCCCTCAAGAATTCCAGGGTACTTAGTCTTGTAAAGGAGTCATAGTAAGACTCCAGAGGGGGCTTAAAGGGCAGAAGGGAGGCTATGGTGGTAAAATGATGGAATGGGAGAGGGATGGCTATTCATTTCTAACCAGGAAATCAAGACATAGAGAAGTTATATGACTAAGCCTTGCCTACACACACAGGAGTGCAATCAAACTCAAGCATGATGCCCCATGCAGTATCTCTTCTAATTTGAAAAAGAAATAAAAAAGGACTGCTTTCCTCTGCTAGGCAGATACTCTGCTTCCCCTCCACCACCAGAACTTCATACCCACCCCTCCTCAAGTGCCATTTCTTACTCAGTTCATTACGGAAGGTCTCTCGAGCTGTCCTCCACCCATGGGGGTCTATCTCTCGCTCCAAGCGGATATTTTCCACCATTAGGTACATGACACTGAGTAGTACCCTGGGGTTAAAAAGGGATCATGAGAGCTTATCAAGGCAGTTCCCAGCCTGTAGTTAAAGACTTCATGAATGACCATAGTGGGAACCCAATCAGATAAGTTAAAAAATAACTTCCCACTCATCTGGGATTTAGGAAAAGTGTAATCCATGCTAATCATGTCACTGTCCTAAGCCCACAGTCACTCTCACTCACCGGAGCTCTGTGCTATCAGCAATGGAGACAGCTGGTTTCCGTAGGGCACTGCTACATGCCTGGCTGTTGCTGCCGTGGGGAGGGAAAGAACAGAAATTTATAAGGCCTTTTTCCTCCCTGTGTTCTCACAAACATGAATACCTGCCATTCTCTGGTTATGCAGCACTAATGAAACTGATCTAATGTGAAGGAACCCATAGAATGCCCTTGCTACCTCAGCAAACCCTCATCTATGGTAAAGACAAGCAAAGAACAGGGTCGGTGATATCAATCCCTCTTGGGAACCCCACAATGCTTACCACTGTATTGGACACAAAACTGAGGCTAGCAATATTTGATGAAAAACAGGCAGATTTCCATATATCTAAAACTTCTGGGTAACAGGCATGGACCAAAAAAAGGGTTCATTGTAGTAGCAGAAGATTAGGCTACTTCTGGAGTTATAACTCATGAGGATAAAAATTGGGGACATTGCTGGGTGTGGTGGCGCACGCCTTTAATTCCAGCACTCGGGAGGCAGAGGCAGGCAGATCTCTGTGAGTTCAAGGCCAGCCTGGTCTACATAGTGAATTCCAGGACAGCTGGGGCTACAGGGAGACCCTGTCTCAAAAAGACCAAAAAAAAAAAAAAATTGGGGACATTGCTGGGTGTGGTGGCGCACGCCTTTAATTCCAGCACGCGGGAGGCAGAGGCAGGCAGATCTCTGTGAGTTCAAGGCCAGCCTGGTCTACATAGTGAATTCCAGGACAGCTGGGGCTACAGGGAGACCCTGTCTCAAAAAGACCAAAAAAAAAAAAAAAAAAAAAATTGGGGACATGACAGGACTTGACGTGTCTTTGGGACAAAGACTCTGTCTATTCCTCTTGGGTTATGCTTATGATAGAAAAAGTTTCCATGGATTCTAGAGTTAGGCTCAGCTGAGAAAGTGCCCAGAATAAAAAGGTAACCTAACCAGGATAGGCCTGTGAAAGCCAGAATTGTAGCTGCTGCTAAGTTCAACCTCAGGGAGGAAGAACACAACATCAAGAAAGAAAGCTGGATAGAAGGGAAGCTTTGAGTGGAGATGTGATCAGACAGAGCTCCCACAGGGGAATCTACCAGGGAAACCCACACAGCTCATAAAGAACACCTTCAAGAAAGAGTTGTCTAGGCCAGCCCTCCCCTAAAGCTTCTCACTCGATTTCCATGTGGAGTAGCTCCAGGAAGGCTGAGAAGGTCCCCATCTGATAGAGCAGGAAGCAGTTGTACCTGGACCAGTGTAGCACATCGACCTCTGAGTCACATTCCCCAAAAGTGCCTAAAGGACCAGACAGTTGCCACAGGAGTTGAGGAGGGGGTAGGTTCTTTCCACCCTGCCACATGATCTTAAAACTTTCCTAATACTTTGCAGAATAATTAGGCTGACAAAATTTGGGCAGAACTTCCTTGAACAAGTCAGAGGAGAGGAGAGATAGTCTCCAGGGTTAGGGCAAATGTTTTCATCAATGGTCAGTCTTAAGCTCAGATTCCCCCAGAAGCAGATCCTGGGATAAATATTTAAATACAAATTGTTTATTTGGGAATGGATTCAGAAATCATCAGAAAAGTAGGGCAGTGAAGCAGGGAAGAGAGAAGGCAGAGGAAAAGAGTTTAATCCCAGGGGAAGTTCTGGAAACAGGGCAGAATACACAACTCAGTTATCTCACCCAAGAGGATTGAGATAATCAAGACCATCTTCTCATTCCTACCAGTCATTTTATGAGGACTAAGTATATTAATTCCCTACACTTCCTGATTGCTGCAAACAAAGCCCTTAAGCAAAAGGACCTTGTATTGGCAGTTGGATGTTTGTTAGAGCACCAGACCTAAGTAATCCAGTTGTAACATCTTATTTACTACAGTCTTCTCTTTATGGAATGCCAGTCTCTGCCCTTTTCCCATTTATTGTTTTTAAATTCTTTTTAGATCCAATCTTTGTATTCATGATCTCTGAGCTATTTTCAGTACTCTAGTGAGACACCTTAGTGCCCTTTCCAACACCTGGCTAACAGGTTTCTTCTGGACTGCTTTCCTCAATTAATCTCATTTAGTTCTAGTTATCTCCAAATTACTCTTAGCATCCTCTCCTGCTGCTGTGTTGGTCTGAATCTTCAAAATGTCAATGAGAAACCATGCAGAGGGTCCACCTGTGAGTCTGTGACTCAACTGTCTCCCTTGGTGATGATGCCAGGGCACAGCTGCTGAAAAGTCTCTATGCTCACTCAATTGGTGGTACATCATCAACTCTGGCTACATGGACTCTCTCACTAATCTTCACACATACTTATAGCTAGGTTGGGAGGGGGGAACCCTGTAAGAAATCTTGCCATGAACTAGGTATGGTGGTACATATCTGTAAGCCTAACACTTAGGATGTAGAGGCAAGAGGATCAGGAGTTCAAGGTCATTCTCAGCTAAAAAGAAAAAAGAAACCTGACATGCTTGGAAAAAAAGTAGAGGCAGAGATCCCAAGGGATCCAGAACAGTATCCAACACCATCTCTTGATCTTCCCGTAAGGACAGTAGTAGTAGTTGAACAATTCCTAAACTTTAGACACAACTCCTAGCATATGACAAGATCTGTCATTGAGATGTAAGAGACCTTGCTTCCCCAGTAAGGTCTGCTTCATCCTACTTCCCTCCCTCGCTTCTATATCAAGAGTGGACACTCACCTTGGGCTAGGTAGAGAACAGCCCGGGCCACTTTAAGCCGTTGTTCCCTACTGACCACCTCCAGTCTGTCCAGAAGTCCCATCACATATGTCTTTTGTGCATCTTCTTCTAACTCCAGCCATTCATTAGCGTCTTGCACTGGAGAATAAAGCCATACACAGCTGATGGTGACTACTGCACTCTTCCTGATGCTATGCCCATCTCTGATCTCAGCTCTCATCAAACTCTTTTCTCCTAAAGCTTTCCTTATCTATTTATTTTTTTATTTATTGGAATTTTTGAGACAGGGTCTCCCTGTAGCTCCAGCTGACCTGGAACTTGCTATGTAGAGAGGCTGGCCTCAATTCACAGAGATCTGTTGCCTCTGCCTCCCGAGTGCTGGGATTTAAGGTGTGCACCACCACACCCGGCTCTATTATTTTTTCAAATTTTATTTTGCAGTACTGAGGATTGAGCCCAGGGCCTTGCACATACTAGGTAAGCTGTACCACTGAGCTACATCCTTAACCCAAGTTTTCCTTATTTAGCTAAGAAAACAAAGATAGGAAAAGGGTCCCAAATCTCCAGGTCTGAACCTAACTTGTAGTCTCACCTTAACCATTTCCACTGTCTTCTGCATAGGGCATACTTTGTCCTATCTCTCTTCCTTTCCTCAAGGAGTCCTTCTGTTTCCATCCATATCCAATGCCTGGTCATCCTTACAGAGGACCTCCTTCATACTAATGCTCAAACCTAAAGCTCTGCTCTCTTCTCTTTTCCCTAACACTGTGGACCTCGGTAACTTTTGTGATATGCATCTCCCCACTGCTACAAGTTTATGTAACTTCTTTGTAAAGGCTTCAAATTACCTTCATCTCTGCCTCTGGCATTTCTGATATAACAAATACTTACCACACATTTGTTGAATTGAAAGTTAAATTGCCACTGAGAAAGTAAGAAGATGTGGGGACTGGAGAGATGGTTTAGCGGTTAAGAACACTGGTTGTTCTTGCAGAAGACCCAGGCTCGAATCCCAGCGCCCACATGGTAGCTAACAGTGTCCGAAACTCCAGTTCTAGAGGATCTGACAGCCTCTTCTGTCCTCCCCGGGTATTGCACCATACGGGTGCACTTACCTACATGCAGGCAATACACACATACACATAAAATAAAAACAATAAATAAAAAATATTTTTTAAAAAGTAAGAAGATGGAAACCATAGTATGGACATTTAAAATTGCTATTGACAATTTGGCAAAGTTAGAGGCAGAGGTTAAGCATTAATATAAAGGACCAGGTTAGGAACAGGGTTCCATTAGGTAGCAAGACACCTGTCCAGATTAGTGAGTCATAACTATACTCTCCTTACCATTTATATAGGGAAAGGGCCCAAGCTCAGGCTTCTCTTGCTTTTTTAGATATAAGGAACATGCAAGAAGTAAAAAATATTCGGTTGTGGAGGGGATAAGGAATCAAACTTTGATTAGACTTTTATTAGATTAGACTGGGATATTATGGAGGGAAAAAGCATGTTTCCATGAGTACTGATGTGGCATCACCTTGAGTCTTGAAATCCTCTTCAAAGCACCTCCTGTTAGTGCTAAATTCCAGGTTCTCAGTGTAGCTATATAATTCTGTGGCAGGAAAGACAGAACAGAGTCATTCAGGAGACCCCCAAAAGATGGGGCCTAGGGACCCATGCCTTTAATCCCAGCACTCAGGAGGCAGAGATATGTGGATCATTGTGAGATCAAAACCAGCCTGGTCTACATAGTGAGTTCCAGGCCAGTTGGGGCCACACATAGAGAGACCCTGTCTCAAGGCAAAACAAAAACTAAACAACAAAAGGGGGTAGTGGTGCTGGGGCAGAGAGGATGGTATGAAGAGCTGACGCTTCCAACACATTCCTGTGTCCAATTCAATCCAGAGCCAGCTCCCTCCCTTTCAGAACAGTTAAAAATAGCCACTTGTGTCCCTGGGTGATTAAACCATCAAACCTGTCCTCCTCCTGCCAGCTGGCTGCTGCAATGGAGAAAGAAGGCAGCCTCACATTTGGTGAGGCCCAGGAGGACGGTTGGAGTACAGAGGGCTTAATGTCAAGACTTCTGTTTCTTAGGGCTGCAATCCATTCGGCTCGTCAACCCAGGCTAGAACTATCCTATCTCTAGGGAAGAGAAGGATAACACAACTCCTGAACTGTAGCGACAAGATTCCTGTTCAGGAAACCAAGGCAAGGGCTGAAAAAATACACACTAAATTGCTCTTCAGGGCTGGGAGCCAGTTAATTCTCTCTATGCTGAATTTTCTTACTGGAAGAGTACAGAAATTTAGGTTCCTACCTATGGTCACCTGGGCAGATGCTGTTGTAAAACCATGTAGAAAGCAGCTATGGTTGCCAAAGGATTCTGTGTTCAGGAGTATCTAACCTCTATTACCAGAACATTCAAAATATACCTTACTTCATCTTAAAGAAGATGAGTAAAATCAAACTGAGTACCTTAAAATCTATTCCCCAATACTATAAAGTGGTAGAAATTTACTTATGTTTCACTCAGTTAGTTAATAGTTGAGAATTACCTGATCTGGAAGGTAGAACTCTTAAATCCTGAGGCCCCAGAATCTGGGGGTGGCCAGAAACAAATTCTAACTTTGAATCTTAAATACTTCAGTCATTAATGACTCTTTTTTTTTTGTGATCTTTTTGAGACAAGGTCTCCCTGTAGCCCCAGCTGGCCTGGAACTCATTATGTAGACCAGGCTGGCCTTGAACTCACAGAGATCCATCAGCCTCTGCCTTCCGAGTGCTGGGATTAAAAGCGTGAGCACCACGCCTGGCCCTATTGACTCTTTAAAAATAAATTTATATATAAATACTCAAGAATATATACATATATAGTCAAGAAAGCCCAGTTAGGAAGGTAAACTACTGAACTTTGTTTTTGTCCTTATTTTTAAATTTTAGATAATGAAATTTCATATATGCCTAACTATAGGATACTTTAAGATACCCATGTGTCTTCTACCTAGATTAAACAAACAAAACATTTGCCATATTTGTTTCTGACTACTCTTGAGTCTTATTCCCTTCTCTGGAAGTAAATACTAACATGAATTTGGTGTAGATACTTCAAGTGCTCATTTTTAGATTTTTAGTACATATATATGTACCTATAAACAATATATGATACTGTTTTGTTTAAAAGTTTTTAATTTTAATATTATCAATCATAGTATATAAATTCTTCTGTCATTGCTTCTTTGCCTCAATTTTGTTTTGGCATTTCTCATACTGAAGTATGTCACTATAGATCAATCCTATTAATGGCTGTATGTAAGCCTATTACATTTTTTTGTCTTTTTGAGACAGGGTCTCCCTGTAGTCCCAGGTGACCTGAACTCACTATGTAGACCAGGCTGGCCTTGAACTCACAAAGATCCACCTGCCTCTGCCTCCAAGTGCTGGGATTGAAGGTATGCACCACCATGCCTGGCTTATTACATTTTTTTAAATTGAATTTTTGTGTATTTCATACAGAACATCTCAATCAATCTTAACCATCTTTATACCCCCTTCCCCACTGGCACACTCCTATAACTCCCACCCCCGGAATTCATACATTCTGTCATTTGTGCCTTTATGCCTATTGTGTCAAGTCAGTGTCCCCAGACATCCCTCAGTTCAAGTTCATCTACTGAGGTCTAATCAGCCCATCTAGAGTCTCTCACTTTAGGATGATCAGCTCTTCCTCACCCAGCAGTAATCAGTTGCCAATATTTCTTCTGCTAAGATTGGGGTCAGCTGTCCATTTCCCCAGTTCTATGCTGGGTTTTTATCTGTTTGAGTTTGCATGGGTCCTGTGCATGCTGACACCATTGCTGTAGGTTGAAGATGAGCAGGGTCCCAGAAACCTTCCTGGCTGGAGGTGCAGGGTCATGCACCTCCTCCCTGGCTCTTACAATCTTTCTGCCCCCTCTTCCGCAATAGTCTCTGAGTCCTGGGTAGGTACAGTTTAATATAGGAGTCATATCCAAGGACCAGCATTCTGCAGACTCTTAAGTCTCTACACTTTGGCCATTTGTGACCTTTTGTGTTCCTGGCCCTCTGTTGCATGAGGGAGCTTCATTAATGCAAATTGAGATATTGTCTTCTTTACCCTTTGTTCTATGATCTGTGAGCCTTAAATGTAGCGGTTACATTGTGCCACTTAGACTTGGGCAATTCACAAACAATGTCTGTGTAAGCCCATTACATTTATATGCTAGTTTATCCATTCCCCTGGAAATGGGCATTTTTCAACTTCTCATAACTATAAACAAGGCTGCAATAAACGACTTTGTACATTTTCTTGTGCCCAAGTGTTAGAGTGTACATATAGGAGTAAAATTACTGTGTTGTTAATTATTGGGTCATAATATGTACACACCTTCAATTTTATTAGATATGAATTAACCGTTTTTCATTATACTCTGTTCATACTGCAGTGTAGAAAAGTACTCATTAAGTCTTTAAGGGCTTTTTTAAAAAATTAAACATTTATTGTGTGTGCATTTGCATCAGAGTGCCATGGCACACATGTGGCAGTCAGAGGACAACTTGTAGGAATCAGCTCTCACTTTCCACCATATAGATTCTAGGATTGCATTAAGTTCTGAGGCCTGATTATTGTGAAATAATATCCCATTATTTTAATTTGCCTTTCTCTATTAACTAATCATCAGTGCTGGACTTAAATGAGGAATTCATGTCTGCTTCTTTATTGAGTTCTTCATTTCTTCTTTGTTTCTCTTTCTCTACATAAATTCATATTCTAGATTCTAATTCTTTGTTCTTTATTAAACTTAGCTATTTCTGTCACTCATTGCAAAATTTATTCCCTGTGCTTATTCACCAGAACTTAAAAATGTTTGCCTTTTTCTCTGGAAAAGCATGTCTCACAGTGTCACTTCCATGTGATAGAATATTTAATTTTCACACCATCTCCACCCAAAGCTCAGTTATTAATAACTAGCATTCATAGCACGTGTAACACGGAGGCCTTTAATGTGAGATCACGTTTATCCTATTCTAAAAATCCAGACAGAAAAGCTGCTCAGAATTGAGAAAGGAACGGGATCACTTAATCCCAACTCACAAACATCTGAAACAGAGCTTGACTATGATGATGTAGGTGACATGTTCAGCCTTACTCAGCCGGCCAATAATCTCCTTCAGCTAAGGCTGAAACTTTAGGAAGGGGCAAGTGTTAGGGGAAGGGAGAAAGATGGAGGTAAAGGAAACAAAGCAGAGATAGAATGGGATAAAGGGAGGGTGGCAGAAAGAACAGGCATGCAAAATTATGCATTATAGGAAGAGAGGTGAATAATGGAAAGTGAGAGAACTTATTTCAGAATGCAGCAAAAGAAAAAAGATGAGTAGAAAAAAGCAATAGATTGAAAGAACAAAGAATACCAGTCAAGGAGACTCTGCCGAAGGAAATGTGAATGCAAACAGAGATATTTACTATTGGTTGGGGGAAGGAATGTAATGAAAACAGCCTTTGTTCAATAGTCTCTTCCTAAGACCAGAGAAGCTGTCAGGGGAGATCACAGGCCCTTTCCTTCTCCCCTGACCACTTTTCTACACACTACTGACCCATTGACTCATACCTGACAACTCTGCTGCATGCCCATCTGCATCTCCATACTCAAACTCCAGAGTGGGGCAGTCCACAGAGCCCTATAATACAGAAAATTTCTGGTAAAGGAAAAAGAAGTTGCCAAAGAAAGATTATACCCTAATTTTACCTTCTTCCCCTCTCAGAGGTCAAGGTTAGATCAGAAAAGTGTTTATAAAGTCCTAATTGGCCTTTTCATCTAAGAGGTAACCTTCAAGCCAAAATTTGAGGTTCAGTGCAGGTAAAGGACAGGATTGTAAAGAGACATGAAAGATGCCATCTGAGGGTGTGGTAGCATGTGCCTATGATGTTCCACTCTTGAGGTAGAGATAAAAGGATCCATGTTTAAGGTCAGCCTGGGCTATATAGTTCTTGAGCTCTCATGTTCTATAACTTCTTATCCAGAGTTACTGCAAATAAGGCAGCATTTACCTTCTGTGTTACATTAAATACTAAACTTCCTATGACATGTATAATCCTGTTTAAAATGTTTTAATACAGTCTCCCCTTCTAACTTCTTTAAACTTTTGGGGGATGTTTCCTTTTAGTATACTTTTTTTTTTTTTCCCTTTGGTCTTTTTGAGACAGGGTCTCCCAGTAGCCCCAGCTGGCCTGGAACTCACTATGTAGACCAGGCTGGCCTTGAACTCACAGAGATCCGCCTGCCTCTGCCTCACGAGTGCTAGGATTAAAGGAGTATACTTTTATATGAATTCTATTTATTTACTTATTTATTTAGATGGTGTTGGGATTAGAGGTATGTAACCACCACCTGGTTTATGAGATGCTGGAGATGAAACCCAGGGCTTTGTACATGCTAGGCAAGCACCTTACCCACTGAGCTACATTTCTAGCTTGTTTCTTTGAGACAGGGTCTAATTCTATAGCCTAGGTTGTTTCAGAACTCATTATGTACTCTAGGCTGGTCTTGAACTCAAGGGACAATCCTCTTGCTCCAGCCACCATAGTGCTGGGATCACATTTATGAATCACTATGCATTATACAAATTTTCAAAATTCTTAATCTCAATTTTGTCATATACTATGTGATCATGGGCAAGCTCATACCTCTGTGCCTCAGTGTACTATATAAAATGTATTTGGCATAGTGGTACACTCCTTTAATCCAAGTACTAGGAAGGCAGAGACAGGTGGATCTCTGTGAGATCAAGGCCAGTCTGGTCTACTTATTGAATCCCAAGCCAGCTTGGGTTACAGGGAGATCCTGTCTTAAAAAAACAGGGGGAACTAGGCTCCTAAGGAATAACACCAAGGTTGTCCTCTGGTCTCCACGGGAACATGTACATAGGTGTACATGCATCTGCACACGAAGGAAGGAAGGAAGGAAGGAAGGAAGGAAGGGAGGGAGGGAGGGAGGGA